AGACATTTTGAATTAAAATTCATCCCTTTTGATATCAAATATCACATCCTCTGAACTGATGTCAATATTTCAGAGAAGCTGATGTATTAATAAATATTTAGTTTCTAAGCAAAATAATAATAACCTTACAAGAGTACATATTGTAGTTGTTTTTCCTGTCCCAGGCATACCCACGATGAGTGTGTAGTCTTTTGAAAGAAGTACCTTTTTCATAGCTTGCCTCTGAGGCTTATTCAAACCTACATTTAAATTAAAAAATAACAGGAAAAAGAATTTCAATGAACAAATCAACTATTTTATGAGAAAAGCAGTCTCTATCCCAGTCTGTTCTTCAATACATCTTTTCAAAGTAAAAAAATGTCACAGTGACATTAAAGAATATATAAACTACTTCCAAAGAGTCTCGGTCTAAACATTGTAATTGCAAAGTCTAATCAATTATTAAGATATTAGACTACAGTATAGTTTAAATAGAACTAAGAAAAAGAAATAAAAGCTAACGTGCTGACTACAGCATACCCTTTAGAATGCAGGCAACTGTATCCTTTGCATCATGTGGAAGAACAGAACTGAGGTAGGATATAAACTGAGGTTCACGAAAGTCAATGATTAAATCTCGAAGTTTTTTGCTGAAAAGAAAAAATATACTTTTAGTAATATTCCTTTAAAAAGCAGGTGAAATTCAGATTCATTCATTGTTACAAACCTGACATCTGTGTTTTCCATCAATTTAGAAAGATTTCCTAATGGGGTATCTATATCACAATTTTTCTCTTCCTGGTCTAATCGGAGCAAAGTTGATTCTGGGAGTATCGACAAGTTCCTGTAACAGCAAAACGAATACACATGAATGCTTTTCATGTCTCATGGTCTGTATAAGAAACATACTGCTATCTGCTAAAAGAGTAAATGGGCCAGAATAGCTATTAAAATGGCTACCAGCCTCTCAGTAACACACTTGCCAATCGAAGACAAAGCACGAGGTCCTGGATTGGTGGGAAAAGGGGGAAGGGGAGGGAACAAGGCACCAAAATCAAAGCAGTTAATAATCAGGAACCTGAAACGTTTGCTGAAAATTCACTTGACCTTTCAGTCTAACGTGGGCTCACCACTCCCAAGAGGGAACTTGAGCACATGGCTCCTCCCCTACTCCCTCCTCCAGACTGGAGTATAGATCTCTTTCCTACTGCCTTCTCCCACTCCTCTACCTGCCCCTTAAGCCCTAGTGTTCCCTAGTCCCTCCCCTGGTCCACTGTACTAAGCCTTCCCTCTTTCTCACTTTCCCTATGGTCCCAGGCCCTCATGTGGCTCCAAATCCCAAATCTTCGTCTGCAGGCCTGACCTCACATTCCTCCCCAACGTGGTTCCTCATCTAAGCTTCAGGATCTACTCTGCTGTCTTGATTCTTCCCTCTCCCTCACCTTCTTCCCAACCCACACATCCAATCAGTATCCAAATACCAGCTAATTTGATTTTCTAAATACTTATCAAAGTCATTCTGTCCTCTCTGCCAACACCACCTTGCTTCCATCGCCTTTATCCTGGGCCACTACAACAGCTTTCTGTTCTCGGCTTTCAGTTTTGCCTCCATTAATTAATTCAATTCTTCATAAGGTATCCACAGAAAAAATGCAAATCTAAGTACTATATACATTCTTCTGTTTAAAACCCTTCAGTACATCTGAATAAATAAAATCAAAACTTCTTAACATGGTATGTAAGACCTTCTATGAACTGACCTCTCCAATCATCCCATCCTTGTATTTTACATTCCAGATATACTTAATTACTTGCACTTTCCTGAATGCTCCATACTGTATCACGCCATCGTGCCTTTGCACAACATGCTCACTTGGTCTGGCATACTCATCTCACACTGCTTCACAAGGCTGATTTATTAATCCACAGGATGAAGATCCAGAATTGGCTCTTTCAAAAAGCCTTCCCTGAGTTTCCTAAAATTGGGTTAAATGCCTCTCCTTTGCATTCCCATCAATTTGAATACATCGTATTACACTGAAAATGTGCATAAGTGTCTACCCACAAGATCATAAATTCCTCAAGGATTTGCAAAGTACCTAATACATGCTGGGCACTAAATAAATACTGCAAGGGACTGCAGGGAATCCTAACAGATGACAGGAATATTGTATCTCATAATCCCATATCATGAGACCCAGACTACGGTTGGTTATGACTCAACTAGAATTACTAGTTGGTAGGAAACAAGCCTGGATGTTATGGTTACTCAGACTCACCATTACGGTCACTAAGTCTCAATTGCTGACCTCCATCCATTAAAAAATGGTGAGGCATGCCTGCAAGGAAGGCTGGGCAATGTAGCCTAGCTGAATGTGAAAGAAGAGCAATATGGATATTAGTGAATACGGGCATTGGTCTCTGCCACAGATTTTCATATCAACTATTCTAATATAAATGGAAAAAAACATTTTCTTTTTTAGTAG